GTCCTCCAATATCGGTGTGAACCAGCTGCAACTTTCTTGTTGCTCTCCAAGTTGCCTTTGGGAATGGAAGTCTACTTTGTTTTCCAAATTGACAAGCCCGACAATTTTTAGAACTCGCTCCCAGTTTAGAAAGGTTCTCGACTATCACCAATTCTTGCATTTTGAGAAGCCCTTGATAATGATAGTGTCCGAGTCTCTTATGCCATAACTCGGAAGCATTTTCTCTTGCCGAATACACCACTTGTTCTTCCTCCAATGGATTTAATGAGAAACTTCTGCCTCTCATTTTGACTTTAAACAAGTCATGTCCTGAGGCTTCCTTGATCAAGCAATGTTTTATCTTCGAAATACAATTTGAAACCTTTTTCTAACAATTGACCAACACTTAACAAGTTCTGATCCAAATCTGGTACATAAAGAACATCGGAAATTTCTTTAGTACCTGATTGTGTTTCAATTGTAATAGTTCCCATTCCTTTTGCCGGAATATAACCGCCATGACCTATTCTGACTTTTGTAACTCCAGTAGGCTTCAAGTCTTTAAAGATCTTTTTGTCATGAGTCATATGGTTTTGTGGCATCCGCTATCAATCAGCCAAGCCTCAGTTGAAACATTGCTACAAACACGATGCCACAAGAGTTGATCCTCTTCCTGTTCATTAACAACCTGGGCATCTGCATCTTACTGCTGCAATTTACTCTTGCAGATAATTGCTTCATGCCCGAGTTGGTTGCACTTACTGCATTTAGCATCCGGCCTTTTCCAACACTTATACGACGCATGATCATTCTTTCCACAATGCTTACAAGGAGGATAGTTTCCTTTAAAGCTACCTGTTTTGCTTTTGTTGTTGTAGCGAGTTGCTCCTTCTCCATTTGTTGGCTGGTTCTTCTTATTGTTTTTCTTTTTGTATCTTCCACTCTCTTCATGTTTGGCCGCCAATGCTCCCTCTCTGATTCCATCTTCTCTCATAACCCTTCTTTGTTCTTGAGCCTGCAAGGAATTCAATAATTCCGCCAAAGTGATTTTTGACAGATCCTTGGTAGAGTATTCTTTGATGGTTTCCGATTCTTTCATCTTCTGTAACTCAAAGTCTCTAATGAGATTCAGCACTTGCATACCTTTGATACGATCATCTCCTTCATATTCTGCCTTGAGATAATCCCAGATGGCTTTTGCTGATTTTAGAGACATGATGCGAGTGAAAATTGTTGAAGAGACCGCTGAAAAAAGGCATGCCTTTGCCTTAGATTTTCTGGTTTTCTTGTCCTTGTGATTTTTGAGTTGAGCCATTGTTAGGATTCCGGGTAGCGGAAGAACTTCAGAGTCTTCCTCGATTGCCTCCCAAAGATCTAAAGCTTCGAGATAAGCTTCCATCCTCACTGCCCACATGTGAAAATTTTCACCATTGAAGACAGGAGGTGCCATTACCGAGAAACTTGAGCTTTCTTCCATTTTTAATATTTTGCTGTTTCTGGTTGTGGTGCTTGAGTCACTTGAAACAATCACTCACAGAAATACCCACAGATCCCGCAAGATAAAAAAGCTCTAGATACCAATTGTTGGTAAATTTTAGTAGTATGAGTTTTAGAAAACAGAGAAGTCAAGAAGAATATTGGTAGAAGAACATTCTTATTGATGTCTTCAGATTTCATTTATAAGACTGGAATGAAAAACAGAAAGCAGTAAACCCACTACTAGCATATTCCTAACTCACTAACTTACTCCTAAATAATAGGAATAGATGGCTAACAACTAATTGACTAAGTCTTATCTAATATAATGCAGTAAAAGTAAAAGTGCAGTTGAAAAAGCAAATTCCTAACAGTTTCGCCTACTCTTGTTTCTCTGTTGCTTTTGATACGGCTTTGTCATCTCGTTCGAATAATTGCAGTATTCCAGTAGAGAAGATGTCGGACCTGAATCTTGATGATTCAGAGGTTGAATTAGACTACCATGGTGATGGGGATGTTTTTGATCTCGGAGAGAAAATTGCTAATCCCCTATGGTGTGTGGTAGGCCGTGTTGTTACAGGCAAGTTTGTAAATCCTAATTCCTTGAGTGATGCAATGGGGAAGGCATGGAGACCAAGGGAAGGTTTGACCGTGAGAGAACTTGGAAACAATGCCTTTGTTTTCCAATTTTTTAAACAATGTGAACATGATTGAATAACTGAAGGTGGCCCGTGGAACTTCAAGTAGAAATTGGCGTGCATTGTGGGAATGAGAGTGTTGCTAATAATGGAAAGGATTACGAGAATATTGGGATAATTATAAGGGATGGAGATGAATATGGAAAAGATATGGAGGCAGAGGAGCTTGATGAGGAGGGGTTATGCTGTTAGAGAAAAGAAGGAAACGTGAGGCAACAAGCAAATTAATTCCTTCTGATGAGTCAAAAAACTTATTCATGGCGGGTTCTAGTCTTCAGGCCTGCCTAATCCAATGAGCTCTTTAATCTGGAATTGTCGTGGGTTTGGGAACCCATGTACAGTTTCCGAACTAAAAGACTTGGTCCAACAAAAGAAGCCCAATTTAAATTTCTTATAGGAGACTAAAGTTAACAACACTAAATTACAACAACTTTGTGATAATTTAGGCTTTGAAGGCTTGAGTGTTGTTGATCCAAAAGGACAGAGTGGTGGCTTAGCCCTTTTATGGAGAGAGAAGGGCACGTGCTCAGTAATCAATTCTCAAAAATATTTAATCTATGTGGAGGTGTGAATTGCAAGGATTCCTAACTTTCGATATACTGGTTTCCATGGTTTCCCCGAGACAAATCGTAGGAGGCAATCTTGGGAGATTCTAAAGTTTTTGAAGAATAAATCCCCACTATCATGGTGTATCGCAGGGGATTTCAATGATATTCTGAGCTATGGATGGGGAGAATTCAACAACCAGCTTGGAGACTTGATGGGTTTCGACAAGTGGTGAATTTCTATGAATTACATGACTTGGGATACATTGGAAATAAATTTACTTGGGAAAGGGGAAGAGGTACGAATGGATGGGTTTCAGAGAGGCTGGATAGAGCCCTTGCAACGGCTTGTTGGCGCATACTATTCAATAGAGCTACAATGTATCATATGGAAACTGCTTGTAGTGACCATATGACTCTTTTTATCTCCTTAGGAATAAGCATCATGCGATATTCACCAGTGAAGTTTTGCTCTGAAAATTCATGGCTTCGAGAAACTGATGTTAAGGAGGCAGTGGAAGAACATCTATTGAACATTGTGAGCGCTTTTTACAGCCATGGGGTCGCAACATAAAGAAACAATCCAATTTAAGATGAAGCATTGCAAGACACAGATGAAGAGACTTAGAGGTAGTAGAGAGCTGAGTCACATTGCTCTTTATAATAGTGCCAAAGATGCTTATGAAATCTTGTTGAGGCAACAAGAAAATTATTGGAAATAGAGAGCAAAATAATTTTGGCTGCAGAGAGGTGATAGAAATACCCGTTATTTTCATCTAATGGCTACCTCACGATGGAAAAAGAATACAATTTCACAATCGAAAGATGAGTCTGGATGTTGGTTTCATTGGGGGATTGGATTGAGTGGTCTTATTGTGAATTATTACACCAATTTGTTCAAGACATAACATGGTCCATTTAATGTCATTACTGACATTGTTGAGAAGAGAGTTTTTGAAGAAATTAACGAGGACTTGAAGCGTCCTTTTACAGTTGAAAAGATCAAATTGGTTGATTTTAGCATGCACCCGTATAAAGCTCCCAGACCGAATGGATTAAATCCATGCTTCTTTCGATATTTTTGGAGTATTGTTGAAGATGATGTTTCTTAGGCCATTATGGAATGCTTGAATAATAATAATCCACCTGGGCCAGGAAGTAACAATACTAATATTGTGTTAATCCCAAAAAAGAAACAACCTGAATTTGTTTCAGCTTTACGGCCTATCTCCCTTTGCAATGTTGTTGATAGAATCACTTGTAAAGTCCTTGCGAACAGAATGAAACGATTTATGAATCTAATAATCTCTGAGGCCCAAAGTGTTTTCATTCCAGGAAGATACATTACAGATAATGCAATGCATTATCTAAAGAGGAAAACACAAGTCAAAGTGGGTTATGCGGCAATTAAGACGGGTATGAGGAAAGCTTATGATCGCGTTGAATGGGGTTTTCTACGAGCAATGATGATAAAGATTGGATTTTGTTCGGAGTGGGTGAATAAAGTTATGCATATGGTAACCGCAGTTACTTATCAATTTAGTCATGGTGGCAAGCAGTTAGGAAAATATTTCTCCAAGAAGAGGCTTGACGCAAGGTGATCCTATATCACTTTATCTATTTTTGATAGGTGTGGAGGGTTTGTCAGTGTTGTTGAAGCGAATGTCTATTCAGGGCCGAAATCATGATGTTAAAATTTGTACTAAAGCACCATCTATTTCACACCTATTTTTTGCGGATGATGCTTTATATTTTTTTAAAGTGGAGTTCATGGTACACTAACTTAACCTTCAAGGTCAAATAGGGCTATAGTGAACATCAATCCACTATCTAGCTCAAAATTGCAAAGGAGGAGGCAAAAACTATTAAGTTATGTTTGGAGATACATCAGGCAGCCTCTCGCCTACAGGTAAATTTTCAAAGTTTTTATATTTTTTAGCCGTAATACTAATGAAAGTGTGAAGAAAGAGATTGCGGATATCTTCCATGTTAAGGAGGTGAATGCTCCTAGAAAGTATCTTGGCTTGCCGACAGTGGTGGGAAGAAGCAAAAAAATAGTCTTTGCTTATATTCAGGATAGAGTAATCTCAAAGATAAAAAGTTAGAAGTGCACAGTCTCTTACGAGCAGGACGAGAAGTATTGTTCAAAACAGTGATTGAATCAATTCCAACTTATGTGATGAATATGTTCTTGATTCGCAGTAATATATGAGAACCTGTTGAAAGAGCCATGAATGGAATTTTGTGGAAATTGGGAAAGAGCAAAAATCAAGGGATAAGGTGGATGTCTTGACATAAAGTTTGTGTCTGCAAGGAGGATGGGGGTTTGGGCTTTCAAAAGTAGTAAGAAACATTACCCAAATTTAGGACCAATCGTCCACCAAAACAAATTCAAAAATTGAGGGCTCTTCTCCGCCAACTTGCCAAAAATAGTTTTCCCCGATTTTCAGATCTTTTATATCAGCTAAACCATTGCAATTGTGAAACCGTCTTCACAATTGTGATGCCGCAACTGTGGACTTCCCATCGCGAAAGCGGAGACTCACTGGATGGACCCTTTTGCAATTGCTACCTTGGCCCTCGCAAATGCAGACAATCAACCATTGATTAACTGTCACAATTGTAATCCCTGACTTGCTTTTGCAGAGGTCTAGCCTAGAGCCTCACTATGTATAGGCGAGCCTTTGGCCGCAAATGTGATGCACCAGTTGACATCAATATCAGTTGTTCTGCAACAACTACATTCTTCATCCAAACTCCTTGAGTCCCAAATTCTCGTATGCCAACCAGTCCAAAAACATGATATATACCTAACCGAAGCTTCAAATAACACAACAGCACACAAACTCAAAAAGAGGGGTTAGGTTTTTGATTTTTCATTTAAGCCTTCCAAATTAAGATCGATTTCCAAAACATTCGTGAGCCATTGGGGTCTTAACCCAAACTATCCCGCTAAGTCCAAAAAGGTAAAACCAAGCTATCTAGAATATTAAAGCATGAACTAAAGTACTATTGCTCAAAACGGAGGTTTGAATTGTTACTTTCAGGCTGCACTTGCCTATATCAGCCACTCTTGCGGCAGGAGTGCATTAAGCCCTGGAGGATGACCCCTCTCTCTCTCTGACTTCTATTTGACATCTTTTAGATATTTTGACACAATAACCCTTTTACAACATATACCAAACACTTCAATTACCCCATGTGGCTTCCTCAACGAATCGAGGATTCTTTAAACACGCCCGTACACTCATAAAATTTAATCCTAATTTATTTTTAAAAATTTATGGACTTTACATTGATTTTATCATGTGTTTGTTGCTTTCCTTATCATGCAGACAAACAGTTCTGAGGCCATTAGGATTGATGTGGCTGTAGTGGACCAGTATCTGACAGAGTCTGCTGCTAAATTGAAAGACCTTTTTCCAGATTGGGTCGATGTGACTGCATTCTCTAGTTTTATATCTACCTATGTTTTCTGAGTTGTTCAAAGGGCAGAGCCTCGTTAATTCTTTATTACCAAAAATATGGATTGTGTAGTAGACCTTTTAAATTACTAGACTTCTTTTCTTTTTTCTTTTAATAAACTTATTGGCAATGTGTTGGAGTCAATTCCTTAAATGGTAACTGAACTTGTAGTAATATCTTATTAAAGTAGCTTCAATTTTTTTTGATATGCTCATCAAATATGAATATATTTCCAACAAGGTGCAAAAAGTAATGGAAAAGTTGATTTTTTAATGGAAGTTTATACATGTATCTTTTCCAGATTCGTTGTTAGATCCAATACTTAATATTAACCCATTGTATAAAATTAATTTGACCCATTTCAAATAGGTCTCTAGTAAAATAAATTGTATTCATGTAAATTGGATGTGCCATTCTCGTTAAAAATTTGTACATATATCTTTTATTTTTAATGGGAGATTATACATTTTAGGTTTTCTTTTCTGAGGGGCTTAAAATCCAATCTAATAATAAAATTCAGATATGCAAGATTGATACTAATTATGCTATTTTTATGTTTTTCTCTTTAGCTAATTTTTATTTTCATATATAAACTTAAATACCAATTATTATTTTTAATTGCAAACTTGAGAATAGTGTGTAGTCAACAAAATATTTAGGAGAAGATAGTTCTGATTTTTCATGAAAAAATTTGTGTTAGATTACACCATTTCTTTGTAGTTACATGATATGATTTATTAGTGGTAATTAGGGTTGTTCATGGTTATGGTTAAAAACCAAAACGAACCGTAATCCGAACCAAATCGATTAAAAAAATTTGATATTTGATTTGGTTAGGTTTGGTTTAAAATTTTGAAAATCGATAATATTTGGTTTGGTTATGGTTTTACTAAAAAACAACCGCAAAAATAACCAAACCAAACCGACAAATTAGATATATAAATTTTATAATTATTTATATATTATTCATAAATAAAATATTAATATTTCGTTAAATTTTAATTAACTTAAGACTTTAACTTTACCATTTTCTCAAGCCCAACACTTAAATTTTAGTTCAACTATTATTACAATCTTAAGTCCAAGTCCATTAAAATCCTTTATTTTAGTCATTACCTACCTTGCCTCACATAAGATAGTTATATTTTCTCTTAATTGAAACACTTTGTTTGTGTAATAATAACTCTAGTATTTCTTAATTGCTTAATTGAACCGACAATAGCTTTCATGTGGATTGTTCATGTTCTAGGTGTTTGTGTCTATCGAGATACGTATGTCCTTAATTTTTTTTATTACTTTCAAACCGAAAAAACCAGAAAAACTGAACCAAATCGAACCAAACCGACGGTTATGTTTCTCGTTTGGTTTGGTTTGGTTTTAGAAATTTAAAAAATCGACTAGATTGGTTTGGTTTTGGTTTTAACCAATAATCGATCTATACTGAACCACGAACACCCCCAGTGGTAATGATGGAGGCATTGTGCAGGTACAACATCAAAGACAACAACTTTTCAATTAGTGTATGGAGAACTAGGGGATTAAGGCGGAGATAGGAAATTATAGGCTCACGAAGGTGAAAGAGGGGAAGGTTCGAAACTTGAATCAAGTAACGTGCATCAAGGATGAAGAAGACAAGATGTTAGTGGAAAAAACCTTCATTAAACGAAGATGGTAACCTTACTTCCACAAACTATTGAATGAAGAATGAGATAGAGATGTCATGCTAGATGATTTGGAGCACTTTGTGAGACATAAAATATTTGGGTATTGTAGGTGTATTACAGTTGACGAAGTTAAGCATACTATTAGTAGGATGAGAAGGGAAGATTGAACCGACTATATGAGGCTTCATTGGAGTTTTGGAAGATCACAAACATGGTAGATATGAAGTGTCTAACTAACTGATTTGCTTAATGTCATTTTAAGATGAAAAAGACCCAAACAATGAAGGTGGAGTATAATGATTCTATTGTACAAGACGAGGGTATTATTCAAAATTGTAACAATTATAGGGGTATCAAGTTGCTAGACACACTATGAAAGTATGTGAGAGAGTGATGGATATGAGGTGAGGAGGGGTGTATCCATCTGTAACAACCCAGAAATTTGTAAGTTGAACTAGTGAGTTCTAGAGCCTTTCGTAAGAGTTTTGGAGTGATGTATGAGGGTTAAAATCACAAGAAATGGTTCCCATACTTAGAATGAGGGTTATAGGGGTTAAATGTTTGGGTACGACCCCCCAAGGACTATCCAAGGGGTCCTTGAGGGGAACCCCAAAGCAGCCCCCAAAATTGCCAATTTGCAGCAACCCACGATTGCCATCTACTGGCCGTGGTTGGATCCACGCCCCATGGGTTGGGCTCGTGGGTCAAGGCCTATAAGGCCTGCAACATTTAGCCTCAGTACCTATCCACAAACCCCCTTTGACGCCTCGTGAACCGGATGGGTGGTCCGTAGGTGGTGATAGTTTTTGAGTTTTAGTTTTAAGTTGGGGGTTTAGGAATTGATTAGTTATTTAATTAGGGTTAAGGTAGGTCGGTTAATTAGTTAATTTACCACCTATATAAGTCTAATAAGACCCTAAACTAAGTCATTAAGTCATTATAACCCAAGACCCCAAATCAAAACCCAAATACTTTCCCTCCCAAAATCTTCTCTCTAGACTCCATTGAAGAACAAAGGAAGAGATTAAGCTAGAGCTTCAAGAAGAGGGTTTTTTCATATGAATTTTATGGGATTCTAAGTCTAAGGTATGGATGCTTTTCATTCTTGGTTAACTATCACCAAGAAGCCCCTTCAACTATGTTTTCAAAATTTCCAATTCTAGGGTTTTTCAAATCTAGTCATGGGTATTCTTTCAAAATGAATTCAATTTTTTAATTAAGGTTTATGATGATTGATTATGATGATTTATGATTGGATTAATGGAGTATTGATGGATTTTGATGAAAATCTCCCCTTAGACCCATGATTTCCCCTTCCTCCTAAATTGTGAACTAGGGTATGACTTGATTGATCATGTAAGCTTGTCAATTGATTGTGTTTATGTTATTAAGTTGTTGAATCATGAAATTCCCCTATCTAACTTGGTAATTCTAGAAGTTAGGTTGAATCTTGGTTCTTAGCCTTGAAGGGCAAATTGAGGGTTAGATGTGAACCTTTAAGATTGATGAACTTCTTAGTCAATTGCCTTAGATTAGATCACTTAGACATGAGTTTCTTATGAATGAACCTTGTAGACATGAACTAATTAGATTAGGTCTTATATGATGGATCATGGTTGAAGTAGTATTCAGACATCAATATATGTGTATTATGTGTGATTGCAGTATTATGTACATGCTTATGAACACTTGAGAAGGAAGTGTCTATGGTGATAATGTATATATGGTGTTGATTGAAAGGTTAGTTCTCATATGCACCTTTACATACTATTATGTATGAAATGCTCATGATCATGCTGATCCACTTGAAAGGTGGAGGTGTTTAATTATTGTGTATATTGTGGTATTGATGCAAGATCCTTCTTTCCTATACCCCTATACATGACTATGTATGATATGATATGACTATGTACGATATGATATGACTATGTATGATATGTTATGACTATGGTAGTATTGTTGTGTTGAATGAAAGGCTATTCTCATGAACACACTATGAATATAATGTGAAAGGTTTCTCACATGTTGATGATTCTAAAGTGAAAGGACATTCTCACTTAATGAATCTATGAGCTATTATGATATGTTGGTTTGAGTTCCTAGTGCATTCTCTTATTACCATGAACTTAAGTAAAGACTTAATATGACTTTTAAAGGGAATTATGCTTAGCACCGAGAGGGTATGAAAGTGAGATGGAAGCTTTTACGTTAGAAAGTCCGGCTTCCCATTGTATGTTATCTCATGAGATGGAAACCTTTTACGTTAGAAAGCTCGGATTTCTAGTAGCAATCTCCTTACCCTATAACTATGTGCCCACATAGGTATATAGCTAGTGGATCCACCTATAAGCTATTATGTACGTTCTACCTTAGGCAAGTAGGACACCTTTTTCGGTGTGGGGGTAAGACACCGGATTCCATGTAGCTCACATGGTCTATGTCGGTTAAGGCTAAATCTCCCTAAGTGATAAGAATATGAATTATGATAAGAACATGGGCATGTTCTATGGTTCCTCAAGAGAGGTTCTACTTAGCATGAATGTGGTTATGGGACTTCATTCGTGCATTGCACAAGTAGGCTTTGAGAGTGGGCATGGTATGTCTCTTTTATGATATGATGATTATGAGTTGAATGTATGCTTTGTATGAATTATGAATATGAACTATGCTTATGACTTCTTAATGAGCTTTACTTAGTGTGAGTGGGGGTATGGGACTTCACTTATATATTGCACAAGTGGACTTATAAAGGGGTTATGGGGTGGGTTCCTTATGCTATGAAGATTTATGAATTATGTATGCTTGATATGGATTATGTATGAAAGGTATGTATGAATGTTAAGGTTGACTTCACTTATTACAAGATATGAACATGAATGACTCCTTACTTATTTATGTTGGCTATGACTATGGTAAAGTAAGATATGTATGTTGTTGGTGGCCTAAATGTGATACTTAGCATTTGGTAGGATTATGGGATCTTACCTTTGCATTGAACTAGTGTGGCTTTGGGTTGCTTATGTGGTAGTTTTATTATGATGAGATGATCTTGGTATTTGACTATGTGTATGAACTATGTCTTATGAATTGGAGATATTGGATGCTATTCTTGTGGCTAGGACTCTAGTAGATCAAGAAGAAGAAGATTGGTGAGTCCTCATAGTATTCGA